AGCGGTGGTTCCTCTCCGGCGACATTGCCGCCGTCGACCCTGTCTCCGGTCTGACGAAGATTATCGGTAAGTGCTGTTGCAGTGGTGGTGATTTCTTTTCTCTAAACCCTTTTATTAACCTCCAGACCGAAAGAAGGACCTGAGCAAGCTGGCAAACGGCGAGTTCATTTCACTTGGAAAGGTTCGTATGGCAAGCACACCAAAACCAGACGCATTTGTTTACATCTTTCTCTTTTTGCAGGTGGAAAGCGGCCTCCGCTCCAGTCGCTACATTGAGAACATCTGCATCTGCACTGATATGTTCAGCAACCAACTGGTGGCGCTCATCTCGCCCAACTCCAAGGTCCTCCGCGAGCTGGGCAAGTCCCTGGGTAAGGGGCACATGAGCAAGGCGGAGATGTGCGCCGACGAGGAGATCACCCAGATCATCCTCGACAGCATCAAGCAGACGGGAGAACGGGCAAAGCTGAAGGACAAGGAGATTCCCGCCCGGGTGACCCTGGTCAAGGAGGAGTGGCTGCCCTCCAACAACCTCCTCACGGCGGCCTTCAAGCTCAAGCGGAAGAACGTCTACGAGTTCTACCGCGAGGACATCTCGCGCATGTTTGCTTCGCTCAAGAACTGAAGAGCCCTCGCTCGTTCGGTAGTGATGAGAGTGGTGTGTGTGTGTTTTACCGTTCGGTGCTTTTCTATAATTTATTCTATACTTTTTTTTCTTATTTTCCTTCCTTCCCTTTTCTTCAACTTTTCATTTCCTCTTCTTTTTCTTCTCTTTACCATCACCGCCACAAAACACACCCACATAGATTGAACTCTTTATCGTCTCTCTCTTTTTGTACTTATTTCTCTATCGCCATTTGTATGTTCTTATTTATTACTGCTTACTCCTTCCCTTCTTTTAGTGATTCGACCTGCTGTCCATCTGATCTGATGATGACTTGACCGATGCTCACACCTAACTATTACCACTCACCCCCACTGATCATCCCTCCGCCTTCCCTTCCCCCTACCCACCCCTTTTGACGAAATCTTAATGCAATCTTTCTCACACTCTCGACAATCGATATTAAAGTTGACAAGAGACGACACCGACAGAGAGACGACAGCGCTCTCTTTCTCCAGACAATCCCTCCACTAGCCATTCCAAATGGTGGACAATAAAATTGTCAATCTTTCCCAATCATTTCTTTTCTTCTTCTATTTCTCTGTTGCTGTGTCTTTGAAATTGGCTATTTCTCTGCAAAGTTCTTTTTTTCCGTCTGCGCACATCAGCACGCATAAAAGCCCCAGTGACATGTTGATTTGGTGATTCAGTCTACCGGTAGACTTTCACTTGACAGGTTCTTCACAGCTTTTGTTTTCTGAAGATTGTCAACGGATCAAGGATCAACATGGATTATAACAAGTGATCTCCTCATCCTCTTCAATTTGCTCAGTCGAACCCAAAGGATGGATCGTCTATGAGGTAGGTGTTTTCATGTTCTTTTCTGTTTGATAGAAAAATATGCCTTTATTTGTTCTCTCGTTTGAGTGTGCGATGTTTGCGTGCCTGTGTTCATCATGTATTATCTGTGGTCTGCACTGGGATCGGGCAGTGTAAGCGACTCCTGGATGTTCTGCAGCTCGTTCTTGATGTCCTCAATGCTCGTGTGCAGCCTGCTCAGTGGTCTGTGGTGATGAAGCGTGGGGAGTGGGTGAGTGAGTGAGCAAAAGTGATAAGTGATAAGCGAGTTTGTTTATGCGTGCACTAGCGATGCGAGGAGAACTGCCTCATTTTGAGAGAAAAGACACTTACTTTGGACTGCCTAACCGTTCATTGCTGACAGAGTGAGAGCGGCTGCAGCTGCTCAACAGACTGGCGACCTCCATTCGCCGGACTATGTCGTCCTTTCGGGCGGTCCACTCGGCCATCGCCGACTGCAGCTCCTCCACCGTGGACGCCCTCAAGGCGTGGAGGTTGGTGCGCAGGTCGGCGCAGTTCGCCTGTACACTTTGCAGCCGTTGTCTACTGCTTTGCCGCTCCTGAAGCAGTCGGTGATCCCCTTTGGCCGCCTCCTCGCTCCTCACCTCCTCCAGACGCCTCTCCAGGTCGGTCTTGGTGGCGAGTAGAGTGGCCGCCGCCTCTGCACTGCTTCGCGTCAGCTGCTCCGCCAGGCCGGCACAGTACGCCCTCGCCGAGGCCATCTCCTGCTGATTGAGGGCGTTCACGCGGTACAGCTCCGCCAGCAGGTCATCTTTGGTTCGCAGCTCTGCCCTGGTCTGCTCGAGCGTCGAGAGAAGGTCGGTCCGCTCGACGATGGCCGCGGCCAGATCCTTACGGGTCGCCGCCGCCTCTTCTGCCCTCGCCGCCAGACTGCTCTGGTAGTCGGCGAGCAGCGACTCGATGCTCCGCATTGCAAAGCGCAGCTCGTCATTGTCGGCGAGCACCTTTTCTCGTTCCGCCACCAGCTCGGCAATCTTCGCCTCCCGAGCGGTCACCGTCTTGGAGAGGGAGTGCATCTGCAGGGTGGTCGCTGAGCGCTCCTTGGACATCTGCTCGACGATGTAGCTCAGCTGGTCGACCGTGCCCCGCAGCGTCTGATTGGAGCGAGTCAGCTCGGCCACGGTTGATGGTCGTCGGCTGAGATGGTTATCGGTGGCTGCTGATTCGGTCTCCCTTCCATCGCTGGCGTCACCTTCTTCTTCTGCGAAGCTGACTTGTACGTACTGATTGCACTGCTGTACAGGTTGCTGCCGCTCCTCCGTCTGTGTGGAATTTTCCCTCTTCTCCTGAAGTAGTTTGACGATTCGCACGATATCGTCGCTATCAAAGGATGCTCGTGTAGTTGATTTTGGTGAGTTGTTGTTGTTGTTGTTGCTGCTGTTATTGCAAACAACCACTTTCTCATCACTCGACTGTTGTGATACAGTTTGTACTTGACTAGTAGGGGTCGAAGTGGCAGGACTAGATTGATCGTGGTTGATCGTATTTTCGAGGCTGATTGCCTCCGCCTTCTTGAAGCGATTACTCTCAAGCTTTGACCGCTTTTTTGTGCCTTCCAGTGGACTTTGAGGCGGACCCAGAGAGCGAGTTGTTAAGTTGTGATTGTGGTTTACTATTCTGCCACTTTCAAAGTACACTGAATCGGTGCCGTTCACCTTTTCGATGATTGTGGAGATGGCACTGGAGGGGTAGGGAATCAAGTCGTTTATCACATTGTGGTTTGTCTGATTGCTGGTGGCTTGTCCTCCTTCGCCGCCGCTGCCACTACCGCCACCACCGTGAAGGCCATTAATGCTGTTTCTGTACGCCATGGTCAATGGAATGTTCGGTTTGTCGCCCCTTCCGCCTGCACCGTCAACGATGGAGCTGACTTTGAGGTTCAGCTGATCACCATCACCAGAGAGCACCAGCTTTCCATTTCGCAAATGGTTCGCAATCTGACTGTACTTCTCCATGCTGCTGGAGCTGGAGACTGCTGGCGATGGTGGGGGTGCTATCAAAGCTGAAGAACTTCATCTGATGAGTGCCGACTGAATCGAGGGAGGAAGAAAGGGGAGAGATCACTTTAGATTATGGCAAGCAGTTGGAGCACTGCAAAGTCCACTGCTCCATTTGGAACAGCGCAGATCCTTTTTGCTGAAACGTAAACAAAATTCTGACATCTGTACATTTGGACTCTATTTCTACCACACGGCGACAGCGTCTGAAATAGTGCACTTTTTGTTTTCAATCGGCCGCCGCAGATTTCACGTTTTTCCCAGCAATCCAATTTCCGATTTTCTATCTTTTTCCTGATCGACTGATTGATTGCCACTTGACACTTACCTTGACAAGCTTGATGGCAGCTGCCACCACCACCACCACTCGGGCCGCCGTCACCAAGCTGGTGCC